ATTTGTTGATCTATACGGGGTTTCTATAAGTTCTCTATATAGGGGATCTATAAAGTTTCTATACGAATCTATAAAGGCTGTCTATGAGGGCTCCATACAAGGGATCTGTGAAGGGATCTATAGGGATTTTTTCATGGGAATGTATACCTTCGATACGGATAATTGCGCCTTTGTTAAGATCGTGAAGACTATTAACTACGTGATATCCTTCTTGGCTAATGCTGTGATCACATCAGATCTGATATGTATAAAGATACATTGGAAGGCACATGGGAAAACAAACTGACACATTACAGGCCTTCTAATGTGTCAATATTCCTATTGAAACCCTAAAGGCAAGGAACTTATACACTGTAGGGCATCTGTATATTGGAAGGTCTCTGGGTAGTATAAACTGACGCATTACAGGCCCTCTAATGTGTCACTCCACTCCTTCCTATGGAACCTCTATTGCAATGGAACTTTTCCACTAGAAAACCCCTGGACATAATAAACTGACACACTGCAGGCCGTATAATGTGTCGCTCCACCTATGCTATTGAAACCCTACTGATAAGAAATTGATACATCGGAAAGCACTTTTTATGGACATAACAATCTGGCACATTATGCCCACTATAATGTGTATCTTCACTTCCTGGGTCTGGACTGGGCAAATTGACATATTACATGCCCTCTAATGTGTCACTCCATTTCTCCTACTGAAACCCTACTAACAAGGAACTTATACACTGTCAGGCCCCTGTACCTGGGCATATCAAATTGACATATTACAGGCACCCTAATGTGTCACTCCACCCACTCCGATTGATCCTCTACTGACAGGGAACTTATACACTGGAAAGTCCAGGACATAACAGATTGGCACATTACATGCCCTGTAAAGTGTTACTCCACTTCCCCTGTTCAAACTCTATTGACTTGGGCATAACGAATTAACACATTACAAGCCCTCTAATGTGTCACTTCATCCCTTCTATTGAAAGTATATTGACAAGGAAAATCCTACTTTGGAAGGCTCCTGGACACAGCGACCTGACACATTACAGACCCTCTAATGTGTTACTCCATTCCCCATGGAAACCTATTGACAAGGAACTTATACACTGAAGCGACCCTGTATATTGGAAGGCCCCTGGGCAGAACAAACTGACACAATATAGACTCTCTAATGTGTCACTCCACTCCCGCCTATCAAAACTCTTTTGGCGAGGAACTTATACATTCGAAAGCCCCCAGACAGAACAAACGAACACATTACAAGCCTTTGACCTGTCACGCCCACTCATCCTACTGAAGCCCTCTTGATATGAAGCTGATACATCGGAAAGCCCTTCTTACGGACAGAAGAAACTGGCACATTGCAGGGGCTATAATGTTTCTCTTCACTTCCTGGACAGGGCGAACCAATACATTACATGCACTCCTCATATTGAAACCCTATTGACAAGGAACTAGTTTGTTCAGACCTGGCTTGCCTCAGTAGATATATGTAGCATATGTAACCCGCATACACGAGAGCCTTACAGAGGCTGAGGCAACGGAAATACGACGGCAATATGGCAGCAATGATTACAGGATTGCTGTACCGCAGGTAGAACAATTGGTACTGTCACGATTGCTTCGGCTAATCTTTCTGTTTGAGTTGGCGTATGTCTTTTTGTGGGGCCTGAATGGTTATAGGCAGTTCACAGTACTCTCCCTCGGGACGTAGGATTCCTAGTTGCAGGGGCGTAGACAATACTTACTATAATTATTTTTGATTAAATCGTTTGCAATTTCTGTTCGACTGCATTGGTACTGACACTATATATGCAGTACCTAATCTATGATTGTAGTGATGCTAACTTACACTAGGTAGGATTCGCAGGGACAGAGATGTAAGCAATACTTACTATAATTAATTTGGTTGTATTGGTGTTATTCGGCTGCAATGAGTTATCAACTGCGATTCGGATAGCACGGGCAGCATTACAAGCTGCTCGAAACGGGCACAGGAGGCGCAAATTTGCTTGCGGCTGCTGTCCCGCATAAGAGTGAGACGCTGCGTATCCTGTGCCAGCGCAGACGCGAGGGGCTTACAGAGGCTGAGGCAAAGGAAAGACAACTGCAATATGGCAGCAATGATTACAGGATTGATGTACCGCAGGTACGACAATTAGTAATGTCACGATTGCTTAGGCCAATCTTTTGTTCGAGTTGGTGTTTGTCTTTTTGTGGAGCCTGGATGGTTAGTGGCAGTTCACAGTTCTCTCCCTCGAGATGTAGGATTCCTAGTTGCAGGGGCGTCGACAATACTTAGTAGAATTATTTTTGGTTCCAGTGTTTGTAATTTCTGTTCGGCTACACTAATACTGACACAGTATATGCAATACCTAATAGATAATTATAGTGATGCTAACTTACACTAGGTAGGATTCGCAGGGACAGAGATGTAAGCAATACTTACTATAATTATTTTGGTTGTATTGGTGTTGCTTTCTGTTTGATATGCATCCTAATGACACGGACCTAGATAAGAAGTATTATAAGTAGTTTGCACGTAGAGGAGGTAACTTACGCTGAATAGGATTCATAGTCGCAGTGGCGTAGACAATACTAAAAAGACAGATTTTGGTTACACTGTTTGTAATTTCTATTCGACTGCATTAGTACTGACACTATATATGCAATGCCTAATATATGATTGTAGTGATGCTAACTTGCACTAGGTAGGAATCGCAGCGACAGGGATGTAAGCAATACTTACTATAATTATTTTGGTTGGAGTGTTATTGCTTTGTGTTCCATTGGATTCGTAATGATATTGTTATAGGTATTAATTATTAAAATTCAGTTGTCTGTATAGGTGACACTGTATATTAATCAGGTATCAACGTGGCAATGGTGTCAGCAATAATGATAAAAGTATTATAGACCTAAGTAATGCTAAACTTTTCAGAGCGTAAGTCTTGTAATATAATATGTAGGAACATATGATTTAGATAGGGATCTTATATTGTATATATGGCAGACTAGTTAAATAGACCCTAAAGGTATCGGGCTCATATATATATATATATATATATATGATGCAGGGCTGCCACACCCCCCCTCCCCCCCCCACCCCATGGTATCCTCCCCCCTTCCCCCCCCCGCCCCCCCTGTGGTGCGGGGCCTGTGGTGGTACTCTTTTGCCGCGACGTTCTTATGTGTTACTCCTTGTCTTCCCTCTTGCTGTGGCACCGGTGATACTGCTCATGATGTTGTGCTGCTCCAGACCGGGACATGAGTCGACAATCAGACCATGCTCAACATCATCCTTGTCGTCGGCATCTTCATCATCAATACCTTCAAAAGAATATCTGCCACCATCACCATCGCCATACAACCCTTATAATTCAGCAGTGTAATTCATGTCAGATGCTGGAAACTACTCGCCCGATTGCCGCTTTCCGCACACGGCAGGGCATAGTGCGACACTCCCGATCCGCGCACAAGGTCCAGGTTGGGGGCGGCGGGCAGGGCGGGTGGGCTACCATTGCGGGGGGGGGGGGGGGTACCATTGGGGGGGGGGGGGGGGGTTCGGCCCGGACCCGAGAGCATATATATATATATATATATATATACTTGTGGTGTGTGTATGTATGTATATATATATATATATGGTGCATGTATGCAGTGTGTATACATAGAGTACACAGTACAGATTTTATACTTTGGCCTTAAAGTACCAATTAGTATCGTGGTGCTTGCACTCACACAGACTCCAGGATCCAGGATTCTGCGAGCGTTTGTGATGGGGTTGAAGGGAGACAGGATTAAGAGCTTCGGGAGTGAGGGCAAAGGACATGGGAGTTTCCGAAATAGGGGACCCCAGTATACGACCCTAAATAGAAGGATCCTTACTATAAGGACTCCAAGATAAGGTACCCCTAATTTTCGGAAACTCCCACATGTAGCTGGAGCATTTTCTGTTCCAGGCTTAAGCAGTGGTGGATACAGACACTCCAACCTTGTGCGGCTTACTTTCGGGTTTACTCAACCCACGGTGTTGGTCAAGAGTTCAGAGCGCGAGGGTTTCGGAGTTTAACACTTATCTGGTGTACAGGGCATTGTGATTCAGGGGTTTAGTTTGGGGTTGTAAGAAAGTTCTGAAACACATACGGCGCTTGGAGTTTAGGGTGCAGGGTCCAGGGCTTCACCTGCAGCCGTTTAGTTTCTCGGATGTATGCTTGACTGTGTCGCGTGTTGTGTTGCTGGCGCCGTTTGAGGCAAGCATGTTTCAGGACACCATAGTCAGGAGCTTTGCAACCTCTCTATGATGTGCCCTGAAAACACTGGTCTAAGCTTTTAAACACCCGAAACCCTAAACATCTTAACCCTAAATTACTAAACCCTAAAACCCTTAACCCTAAAGCCTGAACCCTAAACCCTGAACCCTTAAGGCTACGAGACTTGCAGAATCGTGAAGCCGCGAAGTTCAGAGCCCGGGAGCTTCACAGTCTAGAACCGCAAACCCCAAAATTAGTACGGTTCCGGGCTTCGGGTTTACGGTTCCGGGTTTAGGGTTTAAGGTTCCGGGTTTAGGGTTTAAGGTTCAGGGTTTAAGGTTTAAGGTTCAGGGTTTAGGGTTTAGGGTATAGGGTTTAGGGATCAGGGTTTAGGGTTCAGGGTTTAGGGCTGAGGGTAGAGCTGGTGTTGTTGATGTACGGCTCACATGGTTTATACGGTGCTTTATGAAGGCGCACGAGCTTGAGAAGGCTAGGTTTCAGCCTCTGAGGGTCCGTAGAGTGCAGAAAAACCTTAAGGCTCCATGTGCTTATAGAGCATATACCATATACCCTAAACCCTAAACCGGACTTAGCCACTTGAAGGCCTCAATTGGGGTTGTCCGAAAAAAGGGCACCCTATAATAACATACCGTAAATGGTAGGATCCTCCCTATAAGGACCCCCTAACAAGGTACCCCTCGTTTTCGGAAACTCCCAAATAGGGGGAAAGGAAGGCAATGAAGGCACCTCTCGTAGGAGAACGAGTCGGCCACCATCGCCCCAGACATCGCGGGACACGGATCCCAAATGACACCTGCCAATGTCGGGGCCGGCTAAGGCCTACAGAGTGGAGTGGAAAAGTACATCTTGGATCTTTGTCAATATATATATATTATATTATATATATAGGAGTCTGAAATAATTCAATCAAACATTGTTCACGATATACCACCAAAGACGTGTCATAAGTATTGCGGCTCCGAAGTTTGCAATTCATAATGACGGGTCTTGTGCTCTTAGATTACGGATCCTACTACGCAGCTATCTTATCTACTTACAAATCCCACAACCTCAATGAACTGTTAGGAACTATCCCGACCTCTATACTGCAGAGCTGACGCCTAAACTTTGGTCAACTACGAACCATCGCGGTTGTGGGCCTGGGCCTTGGTGGTGCAGGGGTCTAGAGACCGTCCAGATCCAGTATGTGGCTCCTGAACCTGACCTCGAAACCACCTTACCCCCCTAAAAACCACAGAAACAAAGGTTAAACTTTCCGAATTCTACTTAACTATGAGAGCCCAAAAATTTTAAAGCTTGGGAAATTAATGGGGATCTAAGCCACTGCTAGCCTCACTCTACAGCTTGGAGCAGATATGACGTGAAGTTGCCCCCACCATTGCCTCAATGCTCCACCCCAATCTGGTCGCCATGCGGGCGTGTTCCTCAGCTTTTGGACCCCACTGGCTCGGATCTTGGAACCATGGTCTTGCTGTTTAAGTCTTAGATTTGGGAGTTTCCGAAAATGGGGGGTACGTTTTGGGGATCCTCGTAGTAAGGATCCTCCTTTTTAGGGTACTATATTGGGATCCCCTAATGTCGGAAACTCCCATTTAGTGTTTCCGGTTTTGGGGTAAGGAATCAAGGGTGTCGGTCGAGGGCTCGGGTGGGCTTCGGAGTGTATTGTTGCACAACCTCACCGTTTGAGGACGGATGGATGCAGCGTTTTGTACGTGCATGCATTCCTAAACCCTAAGCCCTAAACCCTGTTCATGCACGCATGTACATACGCAGGTATATAGGCATGTGCATATTGTGAAGGTACGCCATGCCCGCCATGATCTTCAGGAATTACTTCTGGCATATTGCGGCTTGCTGCTATGGCCATTGCTTGATTATTCTGACTTTTATGATTTTAAAATATAATGAACATGAGTATTATTGCTTCAGTGTTCTGAATACTAAACAAGAGGTGCATCAGCACTAATTACTACGCCAGAGATCAACCCAAAGAGGCTGAGTCGCAAGTAGAGAAAGGCGATCATGCGACGCTCCGGAGGACAATCCTGCTACGGTTGATGATATAAATCATGCGTTACCCGTAATAAGGAATGAAGGAATGTGCTATAATTCCCAGAGTTTAGGGTCCTTAAGGTAATGCAGGATTTCTATCATCAACCGTACAAGGGTCTAGGTTTTGCCGTGGTAATTTCAGTCATCCAATAAAGGGTAGCATAAGCAAGGGTCTACTTGGAGGGTCTGGGAACTTAACGCGTAGGCAAGATGTAGACTCTAAAAGTGTCCTAAAAGGGATCCTAGTTGGGCTCTCTAAGCGCTGTCGCCGATGGCAGCTGGATTGGGTTTAGGGATTGTGGCTTCGGGTTCGGGGTTTGAAGAAACGACCTGGAGCCCTACTTAGAGGATCATTAAGTCCCCTAAGTGGGTTATTTTTACTAAGTCCCATGACCCTCTAAGTAGGCCCTAAACCCTAAACTAAATCCTAAAGATCCCTTTAAGGAACCCTATAGATCCCTTTAACAGGCCCTTTAAGAACCCTTACTAAGTCCCATGATCCTCTAAGTAGATCTCCAACGCCCTACCCCGGGACTCGGGAGGGCTGGGCCTGCAACTACTTTCAGCCACTACGAGACGGTGGGTTTAGGGTTTAGCGGTGTAGAGTTTAGGGGTTTAGGGGTTTAGGGTTTAGGGGTTTAGGGTTTCGAAAAGAACTACTTGGAGGGTCGGAATAGGCAGTATAAGTAGCCGAAAGGGATCCTCATTGGGGTTATGGTGCTTATACGTCTTTAAACTAACTACTTATTTACTAAACCTCCCAAACTGATGCGACTAGGGCTTGGGGCGACTTTATGTCGCGTTCATACTGAGTAGCCCGAAAGAAAACCAAAGCATAAAGTGTAGCTCTGCGCTGTACTTCCTTTCCGCCTTCCTATTCCTACAGGGTTGGACCGGAATTAACAAAGGAGCGTAGTGCAGGGTCCAGGGTTGTCGTGGAAAACACACTACTCCACTGCAAACGTATGTCACAGAGGAATGAACCTACTAGACCCCCCGACTACCCTCTAATATACTGCAAATACCCACTATTAAGGGCCACAAGGGCTCCATTAAAGGGCCATTGGGAGGCTGGTAGCATGCGCCAACCTCAAGAGACCTGGTCTGACCGGTTGTACTTAAAGGGTCATGGGACTTAGTAACTGGGGTTATAATTAGGGTAACTATACTTATAATTACTTATAACCCCAATTGGGGCACTTATAACCCTACTAATTAAGTCCCATGATCCTCCAAGTAACGAACAAGGTAACCGAAAACAGGGAGTGCACTGCAAAATACCGTAGGGTCCAGGGTTCAGCTCGGATGAACATGAGAGTTTCCGAAAATCAGGGGTGCCCTATTTTGGGGTCCTTATAGTAAGGACGCTACTGTTGAGGTTGCTATATGAGGGTCCCCTGTTTTGGGAAACCCCCACATGTATATGTGATGACGACCAGACAGCCGTGGACCTTGCATCATAAAGACGAAACACAGGACTCTGAGCCGCAGAGGCTAAAAACCCTGCAGCCCGAACTGAGACACGAACCCCAAATAAAAATAACATCCACAACTTAAATGGTCAAGTGCAAAAAACAAGCCCCACCTGCGGTAAACCCGGGTTTCAAAAGCAGAAAGTGCTCGATGAAAGGGGACTGTCGCGTTTTGGCCGGTTCCGGGTCCCTAGGGTGTTCTATGGTCTTCCCAGAGACTCTAAACCCTGTTATTCAAGAAATATCCCTTGAATTATGATAGGAACCCTTGTATGACTTCAAGCAGACTCCTTAATTAAAGGGCTTAGGAGTCTCTGGGCTAGGTTTAAGGTTGTGGGGTTTACTGTCTTGGGGTTTGGGGTTCAGGAGGCTCTATGATGTTTCAGGGAGAATCCTGCTCCTTACTGTAAACGACGGGAGTGAAGATCACGCCTGCTCGCAGGGCTCGTCCCCCTCGGCGTTCTCTGGTGGGTCCAAGGCCAGCATGGTCTGTGCTTGGAACTCTTGATTCAGGTAATATAGAGGGCCTTAATTATCAGAATCGGGGCTTTGGGGGTATAACATACAGTAGAAGCCAGAAAGTTGGAACATCATTCTCCTCATGCCCTTAAGGTAAAGTATAGGGGATCCTAGCACTAATCCTCCTAAAGCCATGTTCCAACTTTCTGGCTTCTACTGTACCATGCTGTAATTTAGAATAAGGAAACCCCCAAGCTAGTATTGGTAATAGGATCCTTAGTAGCCCTAAACCCTAAGCTAAAATGGTTGGTGGCTCGGGTGGGCTCGTAGGAGTAAGTGTCCACTTTGTGTACAGTAACAGCAGGCATCAGCACCTCTTACTGTTGATATAAATCTGCATTACCTCAAGGACCCTGAACCATGGGAATTATGGTATCGGTATATTCCTTATTATGGCTAATGCAGGATAATGCAGGATATATATATATATATATATATCATCACCACATATCACTACCGTCATCATGAACAGACAGCTCAAGAGCATTACAATACAGCCGGGTAGTAGTTCGGGCCGTGTTTCCGCCTTAATGCACCCTAGACAAAACAACCTAGGAACAGCTCTGCTTGTACTTGCAAGATCCAGAGACCCACCCCAAAAAACAAAACCCTAAAACCTAAAACCCGAAGCCCTAAACCCCTAAACCCTAAAACCCAAAACCCTAAACCCCAAAGCCCCACTCTCATAAGACGCCAAGCCCTGATGCTTGCGGCATCCGGTTTTTGTCTGCACCGAAGCTCCTCTTCGGCTGTTTCCGTCCGGTCAAAGCACTCGCTGTGGGAAGTGAGGGTGCCTCGAGTGTGCGCCGCCGCTTCCTCACCGCAGCCGGTGTAGGCACCACTGGTGGCGCCAAATGTCGAACCTTCCTCGAGGCGGGACGGCTCATCGGCAGAGTTGTACTCAGACGGTATCCATCGCACACTAGGCAAAATGTTGCGTGCTAAGCACAGAGCCCCGAGCTTCCGAATGATGCGAAGCATTTTGAAGTTCTTGGAACGTCCACGGTCAAATGCTAATGCAACGGCCATGTTGTCTACGAGCAACAACTGCCGGATGCTTTGGCCCCAGCGTGTGTGAGCGATCCGAGCCAGGGACTTCAAGAGGGCATGTGCTTCGAGGACAAGTATGCCATCCGAGTGTCGCCACCGTCGACGCCTGATCTCCTCGAACCCCAAACCTCGCAATAATAAAGGGGGTTAGTAACTAGAATAGAGTTCCTTTAAAGGGTCCTTGAAGGGTTCTATAAGGGCTCTATTTAGAGATGTAGGGGCCTTAATAGTTAAATTAGAGTTTTGGGGAAAGTGACTATAATCCTGACAGGGAATCTCCAAAATCGAATTATAGTATAAGTACCCTAAATTGGGGTTCTTGTTAAGGAACTTAATTACGTTAATTTCCATAATAGGGATCTATAGTACATAATAATATGGTTTATTTTAAATTTTCACTTAACTTCATAAGCCCCTTAGCTAGAACCCGAAGGCTTGAACCTGAACCGCCAAATCTCTGCGCTCGAAGAACCAAATCTGCAAATCCCCACACCCTAAACCTTAAACCCTACACAAAAACACCTGAACCCCTGAGCTTAAACTCTAAAGGAACCCTGAACCCCAGACGCCAGACGCTCTTAACCCTAAAAGCCCTGAACCCTAGACCCTCTCAACATAGCTACCTTAATAATTAGAGTAGGGCTTGGGGGCCCATCATACGATAATTACGATAAAGACTCCCCAAAATAGTATAGGTAATTATCAAAGCCCCCATAATCAACCCTTATAGTAGCCTTACATAGGATCCCCTTAAAGGATAGGTAAGTATCAAAGTTTTTATAGTAACCCCGCAGCCTCACCCTGGGAGGCCGATACGTCAGCAGATCCGGCCTCTTGCCAAAGGATGACCTCACTTGCCCCAGGGATCAAAATCGCCCAAAAGCCATATATAATATAGCGTGGTCTTTGGGCCCAAAAGCCTTAATATATGAGTCCTTAGATCCCCAGGGTTGGCGAGTCGGGGAACCAGGTTGGGCTTTGAAGTTGCAGTAACCAGGGAGAAAAAAGTATAGACTTTTTTTTCATAGTTGGTTCCCTTTAAGTAACCGTTCCCGAAGAAAGTATTAAAGTATGGTCCTCCAAAGCCCAGTAGTAACTAGGATGTAATACTTATAACCTTACAAAAAATACTTACTAAGTTCCCCGCGCGCCTCCAAACAGGAAGCGGGTTCAAAGGGGGCTTGGAGGGGGTTACAGTACACAGGGTGGGAAAACCGTGTCCCTAAAGGCAAGTGGACAGAAGGGGGTTAAGGCGTTAAGGTTTTGGGGCTTGTGGTTTTGGGTTTTGGGTCGATGGGTTTAGGGTTTAACGGAAAGGTGGTAAACATTATGGTACCTTCAGGGCTTCTGCCGCAAAGGCTGGACGGTTTGACGTTGAGGCCCGCGCTTGTGGCGTCTGGGGATCTTTTGCCGCATTCTGTTTCGCTGTGTGGCACTGTGTGCTGCACCAGCATTCTTTTGGACGTCTCTGTTGCCTGCTGTGCTCCGTCGTGCCTTTTAATGTTGCCCTCATCTGCAAACCTTCCTAAACAATAAACACTCCTGACGCCTAAACTCTCTTCAACTCTGAAGTCCCTGCACCCTCCTAAACCTTAACCCCTGGAGCCCTGAACCATCTGTAGAATGTAGAAACCTGGTAGTGCTCACCATAGTACCGTTATAGACCCCTACCTAAACCCTTTACACAACCCTTGTAGTACGCTCATCGCACCTCCATAGAACCGAACGCTCCCAACCCCAGACACTGAAAGCCTAAAGCCTCTATAGAATCCGTATATGGACCCTAATCCCAAGTGCACGGCTTCTCCCCGCACGAACCAGCCTGCCGGGAAGCTCGCTCGATGCTGCGGTGTACACTTCAAGACCACGAAGCCGGAAATTGTTAGCAGCAAAGAAAAGGTATAATAGCGATAAGAAGTTTTGATCGTCTTGCATGCATCAACCTGCCCAGAGACTCCAAAAGCCTTCAACTAGGCAATATTTTGATTGTTTTAAGACAGGGGATCTCAAACCGCTAAGTCCTGAACCCCTGACCTTAAAGCCTGACATGTACAAGTCCTAAACACAATCTCCAATCCCGAATCCACAATCCCTAAACCCTGAACCCTGACACCCTAAACCCTGGACTCTGAACCCTAAACCCCTATTCTTAATGCCCCTGAGTTAAATCCATATAATAGCCCTTATAGTAGTCCTGATAGACCCCTGTAACGGAACCCTATTCTACTGATTATGGCCCCTAAACCCCAAACCTCTAAACCCTGAACCCTAAACCCGTAAACCCCTAAACCCTAAACGCCTAAACCCCTAAAATCCCAAAGGCCCCTATATTAAACCCGAATTGTGCCGGCAGCACGACATCCTTGGAAGCTCTGGGATGCGACACCCTCCGCCATGCCGAGTCGAGAGCTTTGGTTTAGGGTTTGGAGTGTTTGGGTGGGCTTAGTGTGCAAGGTTTAGGGAGTTTAAGGGGTTTAGGTTTAGGGTGTAGGGTTTAGTCTTTAGGTTTCTACATGTCACCCAAGCTCTTCCTTGAGACCCCGCCTCCCTTCTTCGTCATCACCGCCATCGGACACTCCGCACACAGAGGTGTCGGGCCGCACGTCCATGCAACAGGCGTTGAGTGGTCCTGAGCCATGCAGCATTGAAAGCGGGTACTCGTGCGCGCGCGCTCACAGTAGCTGACGCGTGCGCCCTTGGAGGTTGTAGTTCTGCAGCCTCTCCATGTCCCGGCAGCCGAAGGCTTGCAAAATGCGCCTGCCAAATGCTGAGACTCACAAGTCCAGGCAAGAGTCGTTCTTCCTGCGTCGCAACTCGCCTCACCGCCTCGAGAACGAGCGTCGCCTCACCGCCTCGAGGACGAGCAACGCTGGAGGCACTGCAATTTCGTCCCACGGCAAATCCTCGCACAGGTTCAGGCAGACTGATGCCGATGGTGCGAGGGAGTTCTGTCGCCTCGAATTTCACTTTGTCCGCAGCTGGAGGGCAACGCCATGGGACCAGAAGCTTGAAGACGCAGTCGGAAGCCTGACGCGAAGGCATACCCGGTTCGCAGACCATGCTTGTGCACAACAGCGGATCCCAGCTTGTTCTGAACGTTAGGACCTCGTCGTCCGAAGTGAACAACTTCGGCGACTCCTGCGCGGGCTCCTGTTTAGGGACTCTTACATGTGGACATTTTAGGCCATGCAGCTTCACGTTCCGTCTCTCGAGCCCTCCTCGGGTGGCTGCATGAGCTCCTCGATGGCGCGCACGAAGTCAGCCTTTGTAGTCAAAAACGTGCTCGAGTACATGCATGGCGGCATGGCAGCCTACGACACGAGTGCCCGGCCGGAAAGGGCCCGACCTTGTCCGTACCCGGCCGCAGTGCGCTGCAGTCCGAGTTCGCATGTTTTGTTTCTGAGGCTCCCCTCGGGGAATTCTTCGTCGAGGAAAGCCCGCTTCTTAGCCGCGGCACCTGTCACAAGCAGCAGCTCCGCACATCCCGCCACGACCTTTGCGCACGGCTCCGGCCGCTGCACGTGCCAAGGCAGCGGCTTGCCTGAGCCATGCAAGTTACGCAGGACTTGTGTTGCCCGTGGATTTCTGCCGCAGGCCTTGCTTGCGGGCCCGAGAATTGGCCGCGTTCTGTCGGTTGACTTCCCGCACGTCCTTGAGCTTCTGGGGTGCCGCCTGCCGGATCTTATGAAGGCTATGCAGTATAGAAAGTGGATGTCGGACACAGCTCCACGGCTTGCGGCCTGGTTTTGTTTCCTCCTCGCGAAGCTTGGCGTGTTCCTCCTTCTTCTGGAGCCAGGCGTCGTGGTTGAGTTTCTTCTCCCACGCCTTCTCCGCCTGCCAAGTAACGAACCGTGCTATTGCTCGGAGGTTTCTGCAGGACGCGCACTTTCACAGTCTAGCCCGCCTTTGCGAGCGCCTCTCGGCCCTCTTGCTTGGCTGCGGACATGTCCCGGGCACGCTTCTCCTTCTTATGCACCTTCTTCTCCTGTTTCCGGGGGCTTTCTTGTCCTCCTTTTTTGGCAGCTGGGCTGGGCTGGGTTGGGCGGGCTGGGAGCTGGGCGTGCTGGGGCTGGGCTGCGCGAGGTGAATTTCGGGGGCTGACCGGGTTGGGGGGGCCGGAACGGTTTTTTTGTCTTTTTGGGGGCAGCTTTGTGGGCTGGGCCGGGCCTGGCGGGTTGGTGGGCTGAGCAGAGCTCAAAACGTTTTTGTGGCTGGGAGGGAGGGTGGAGCGAACACGAGTTTTGCGACACTGGCGACAGGAACCTGATTATGACTGGAACCTAGTTTTGGGCTAGGTTGGGTTTGAAATCGGCGGTTTAGGGGTTCAATGAAGAGGGTCTAGGGTTTAGGGTGCAGGGTTTAGGGGATTTAGGGTTTAGGGTGTAAAATTTCAGGGTCTAGGGTGTGGGGTTTAAGGGGTTTAGCGCGTTTAGGGTGTAGGACAAAGACATTCAAGGTCTTATATAGGGTGTTCAGGAGTTTCGGGCTTACCTTTACTTCTTTGACTAGCCAGATTTTCGGCTAGGACCTTCAGCAGCTAGCCAAGGAAGGAACTGCAGAATGACTGTGATTCAGGTTTGCAAAAAATTCGGGTCTAGGGCGGCGCCTAATCGAGTACCCGGTAAGATGTACTTGTCGGGTGGTATCAGCCCTAAAGTGCTTCAACAAAACAGCCTCAACTCCTCAACAAGATTCTAAACCCTGAACCACTACACCCTAAACTTAAACCCACAACATAGAAGAGGTGAGGTTTTCAGGCCTGGGGAATTTTAGAGTTTGTGGTTTCAGGACTTACAAGCAAACTTGCCCGAGACCCCAATTGAGCCTCGCCGCCCTAAGCCCTAAACCTTGAAAGCCCCTGACCCTGAGCCCCTTCAAATCCCCAAAGCCCAGAACCGTTTGAGCATGTAACACTGTAGCCTGTAACCTAAACCCTAAACCGGCCTAAACCTTAATTGCTTACTTGTGAGTGTACTTGCGCCCTCTCGGAACCTAATTTGCAAAATCAAACGAAGCCTACAGAGGCAAAGCCCTAAAACCTAAAACAAGGCCTCTGGAGGTAATCTATTCGGGTTTAGGGTTGAGGGTCCAGCGGTAGGGTTTAGG